TGATATAATAATGATATATACTCATAAAATAAAAATGATGACATGCAGTGGTAAATATCACATTTGAAATTCAAAATGGCCACCTCATAAATTACCAAGCATGCCCAAAACCTATCAAATGGCACTATTCAGTCTTTTTGTAAAATAATCCATGCTTAATAGGACAGTTTTTTGCTACCTCAATGACAAAAAATTTTGTACAATGCTCATACACTCATCAGTACAAAATGACGCTAATATAGCACTTTTCAAGTGAAATCAAAATAGTAACAATGATTAAGGAGAACATTCTTGTGTGAACTAAAATATTAGCAGGTTTTAATGCACATTATTGTTTATATGGCATATATAGCATATATATTGCATATACTCATTAGAAAGATATAATATGGAATGATAAAAGCGGTTTATAGGTAAATGAAGTGAGCAAACTGCGATCAGATTGATATTCAACAGCAAAGCAATCTCCCTTATGTGTCAATTTATCCATCAGTCAGAGAAGCAGGTACCTGTAATTAAATCAACTAACGCTTTTATAATCCAATATGCTTTATCAGTAATGCTTTTCTATTACAATATATTCAATTGGACATATCATGTGAGGCACAATGAATACTAAAAGAATAAAAGAATGAAAACATCATATTCAGGCAGAGACGTATTAAGTACATGTTAACATGTATATACATTTATGTTTCTGATTCAGGGTATTGCCCTATTAATAAGTACACTCCCCTCCATAAGTTTGGCAACCTTTTTCCCCCATTGAACTACGTGTTAAAGCCTCTTTAGGTTTGAATTTTTATTTAATTAACCGGCGATAAAATAACTTATAATATTGATGGAAACGTAACTTGACTTTATTTCCAATGCCTCCAATTTTCTAAATTTTTTTCCTCAATTACAATAGGTCGAAAATTGATGATAAATTTGATGAATTTTTGAAAATCGTCATTCCCATGTAATCCAATGGGAAATGGAGGGTTCGGGGCAAATCAGAAATCAGGATATCTTTTCAGTAAAAGATTCAGCAAAAAATATTTTTATATAGAAAATTGAATTGTCTAGCTTTTTTGAACACTAAGTGTTTAGTTTATTAGATGAATATTAAAGTTACAGCGCTTCAAAGTCATTTTTGAAAATAATTTTTCGCCTCCTGTGTTATTTCAATGGGAGAGGTTTTTTGAAAAACAATTTTGACTTTAAAGCCCTATAACTTTGTTGAACCTGAAGAAACATATCAATTTTTTGTTAAATAGAGTTAGCAAATTCAATTTCCTGCCTACCACGTATTTTTTGCAAGGACTCGGATGGATGGATATTCTGTCATATGACTTGCGGCAAACCTACCATTTCCCATTGGTTAACATGGGAATGTCGATTTTCAAAAAATCATCAAATTTATCATCAATTTTCGACCTATTGTAATTGAGGAAAAAAATTGAGAAAATTTGGAGGTATTGGAATTAAAGTCAAATTACGTTTCCATCAATAGTATAAGTATTATCATCGCAGGTTAAGTAAATAAAAATTCAAAGGTAAAGAGGCTTTAACACGTAGTTCAATGGGGGGGAAAAAGGTTGCCAAACTTATGGAGGGGAGTGTATGTGTAGTATGAAGATTATTCCTTGATGTCTGGATTCAATAGCAAGATATTCTAAGCCTATAAATATTGCAAACATTATGAGAAGTATATCAGATATATATGCAGCTTTCATCTTTATCAAGATTCAGTTGATACATTCCATACATGTAAAAATTCAAAAGTTGAACATGTTTCGCCTGTCCTGAATATTCATATGGACCAACAAATGCATGCTAAAAATATGCCAATATCGTCATTCTCATACAAAGCTGCTATATGTTTTGCCAATAGCCTTAAAAGTGAGTAGACCAACTGAGAGCAGCAGAAATATCTTTTTTAATTATCTGTTTTATAAGTTATCATTTGTTGTTGGTGAGCGGTCATTAACTTAATCCCATAGCCTCCTTCCCATCGCCTCGAGAGGGGAAGCCTCACAGATAGGTAAATTACAATGAAGTACTAAATATTTCTCCCCACATATCTCTTAGAGAGACTTCAGGTCTACTTGTGAGTCTACCTTATTAAAAGCCCCAGGCACTGAAACACTCTGCTACATCCTTCCCAGCCAGAGTGCATTATTTGAATTCTCATGCTGTCTTGTACTAATAGAACTCAACTAATATTTCTTTCTTTGACATAAGCATTTTGTCTTGGCCACAAAAGCATGTTCAGAAATATAGTATACTGCAAGATAAACAAAGCTTCCAGATGTTAAGAAAATAGGACCATTGGATGTGACTTATATATTTTATTGTTCGTGACATACGACATCAGTTTCATCCAGTACAACTAGAATCTAGATACTTATGAGGAACCCAAAAATGTCCATATTGATATAATGTTAGGTCACTAATAGATATGTACATTCGAAAAATCATATTTTCATATTAGTATCATTACATATGTATTACAATTCAGAATGACTCTCTTTAAAAGCAATATAATTGGAAAGAGTAATATAGTAAATGCTTTATAGTGTAAAACAATTAACAAAAAGCAGTAAACATTTCTAGCTCATTAGTTGTATTCCCAAGGACTCTCTTTGTCACTCTAGATAGGATTGTCTAGAATATTCTACGAGTCAAAAGATTCACCTCTGCCTCAATATTCTATCCTACTAGTTTTTATATAGGTATTGCAAGTTTTGCCAACCTCAGTATTCTTACACTGAATCAAGATGAATACTAAGTTGCATACAGCTACATTAACATTCTATTACCAAGTCAAGATGAGCACTAAGTTACATAAACCTGCGTCAACATTCTATTACCAAGTCAAGATGGGCATTAAGTTACATGAACCTGCGTCAACATTGTATTACCATGTCAAGATAGGCACTAAGTTACATAAACCTGCGTCAACATTGTATTACCAAGTCAAGATGGGCACTAAGTTACGCCTGTATCAACATTCTATTACCAAGTCAAGATGGGTACTGAGTTACCCCTGCATCAATATTCAATTACCAAGTCAAGATGGGCACTAAGTTACACCTGCATCAATATCCTATAACCAAGTCAAGATGGGCACTAAGTTACGCCTGCATCAATATTCTATTACCAAGTCAAGATTGGTACTTAGTTACATCCGCATCAATATTCAATTACCAAGTCAAGATGGGCACTAAGTTATACCTGCATCAATATCCTATTACCAAGTCAAGATGGGCACTAAGTTATACCTGCAACAATATTCTATTACCAAGCCAAGATGGGCACTAAATTACACCTGCATCAATATTCAATAACCAAGTCAAGCTGAGTACTAAGTTATTACACCTGCATCAATATTCTATTACCAAGTCAAGATGGGCACTAAGTTACACCTGCATCAATATTCTATTACCAAGCCAAGGTGGGCACTAAATTACACCTGCATCAATATTCAATAACCAAGTCAAGCTGAGTACTAAGTTATTACACCTGCATCAATATTCTATTACCAAGTCAAGATGGGCACTAAGTTACACCTGCATCAATATTCTATTACCAAGCCAAGATGGGCACTAAATTACACCTGCATCAATATTCAATTACCAAGTCAAGTTGAGTACTAAGTTATTATACCTGCATCAATATTCTATTATCCAAGTCAAGATGACTCCTAAATTACATACACCTGCATCAATATCTAATTACCAAGTCAAGATAACTACTAATTAACATACTTTTAACCTGTATCAACATTCTATTATCCAAGTATAGGACATCATGTATATTTTGAATCCTATACACAGGACATCTGTTTGTATAAGAAGTTCATATGGTCATAAACTGATGCGTTTGCATGCAAAATATTCAGTCTATGTGCTTGTTCCTTTTGATCAAGGTGTTAACTCTTGGACACAGAGAATAGTATCAAATGACACTTAAACCTAGCTTGACATTCAAAGCAGGTAGTAGCATTTAGGCTTAATTTTATGACAAAATTTGTGGAATTCCCCAGACAGTAACACCAATAGAGCACTTTGTATTCAAGTAAGATTGGTACTGAAGAATTATGTAATCCATGTGCCCCTTGGTAGACACTGATACAAACAGTGAAAAAATAATCAGCTATGGACTAGTGAGGAAATAGTCATTTATAGGGACTAATGAGTAATAGTCAGATAGGGACAGAGTCAGATAGGTCTGGCAAGCGAGAACACTACTCAAGTCAAAATACCTATCAATCCATTAAAGCCCCCATATAAAATTCAAACCACTTTGGCTTATATTGTAGTCTTACCCTATGTTATCAAAGTGTGATATGTGAAACTTTTTCTTTTAATTTCAAAAAGTGGTTTTTGAAGGACCTTTTGTTCGAAAAATTGTGAATTTATTTAAAACTATCTTTAAGAGGTGACATATATCTTTTAATAAGCGATAATTCATACCAATGCATTGCATAACATTCATCCTCAATGTTTTTTTGCCGAAAAAAAAGAAGAAAATCGGTTCATAAATAAACGAGCAATGAAACCATCAATGCATGAAAATGGTCCAGAGAAAAATAGATTTCAAAATTTCAGTTCTCATAGAAACCAATGATACAATAATATCTAAAACATAATATATTCTTCCTTTTAACCCCATTAGACAATCAACATTGTTGTTTTTTAAGTTTAGTATATTTAGAAAAGAATGACATAGAATTTTTTTCAATTTCAAAATATTTTGCCTCTCTTGTATGCTTTCAGTTAACATATTAAATCATATATATTTTAATAAAATATGTAGTTTTAGATAATAGTAGATAGGAGTTTTAGTGAGTAGTTGTGACTAATGTAATCATGTAATGATACAAGATGTCAATAAAAGTTATATGCTTAGGTTGCAAAGTATTTTTGATATACTAAAACATTGAAGTGGTACATTAAATGATTGAGAAGTAGATATTTGGATAAAAATCTAAAGTAGGATAATGATGTTCTTACTTGTTTAATACATCCTGAAGCAGGAGTCTATCTGGAGCATCTAGAAGGTATTCATTCAGTGCATTGCCCCACAGTGTGATAGGTGGTGTGTCAACCTCAATATAAAAATGTTCGTCGTGGCTAGGGTACCCTATTAATCAAAAGGTTACACAACATGACTGAGTTTACCAAACTTACCAACACTAAGCATGGCATGATTGCCTAATGCAAAAATATGATTGCTAAAAATCACCCCAGATTCGATTTATCAATATTGAAAATTTTAAAAAAATCATCAGATATTATTGATAATCGTTATATCAAATGAACTTACCCCTAAACTGTGTAAAATATCTCATTCATAATAAATTGGCATGAGAAACTCGAGCGAAATTTAAAATTAATAAAAACCTTTTAAAGAGCTCATTCCATAAACCAATTACAAACATTTTACAATCATCTATTTGATGATTGCAATTTCAGAAACCTATTAATATACAACTGTATGTACATATCGAATCATTTGTATTGAATTGTTTTATTTATATCTAGCTATAGATCTCATCTAAAATTATGTATCTTGGGATTCTTTATCAACATGCAGGGTACAGCACAGAAAACAAATCCAAAAGGTGGAAATAAACAAGTTTTGTTTATTACCTGGAGGACATAACAGCTTAAACTCATGCTCGCTACCAAGCAACATGTGTAGCAACCCACCTCCATCATCCTGGACACTAGACTGAAACATAATTGCATATATGTATAAGGCAATAAGATACAACATGATGAGAATATGTAGCATGTAATTTTCTTGAAATAATTATCAATGGTTGTTCAATGTTTGTGTTGTGTAATGTTTTCACATTCCTGTTGAATGGATATTCACATGGCATAGATATGGTAGAATATTTGTAAAAAATCTTTGTAGTAGCCTTCATTTAGAAGAACACAGGCCTAAATGTCCAACATTGTAATTCAATGTTGTTCTGTGCCAATCAAGTCTAAAAATAATATGAGTCATCTGCTGTATTAGTTTAATACAGTAAGACCTGTTGAAGATGCTCCAACATTGAGACCAAAATATTGAAGAATCACCTATCTACATAATGTATAATCAACAAACCAGGAATCAGATTTTGCGTGTACAGTAGAACATGCTTTAATGAACATCTCTGTTAGTGGAACACTTCGAAACACAGAACATCTTTTGGCAGAACCACTAAACATGTTTTACTGAATTTGATAATTTTCATACTGAGACTTCCGGAGCTTACAAGGAAAAGGTTTTGAGATTCAATTTATTATCACTTGGATATTGAACTCATGCTTCATGGCTAACTAAACAAAGCTTACATGGTTAAATGTATGAGTATATATTACTAAAAGTTGATAGGTAAGTCAATTTTATTATCAAAATCTTTTTTTTGATTGATGCACAGTTACTCACTTCGAGAGCCATTTTAGATTTTGAAACTAATGGCTCTCCATCAGAGCTATGGACAGCTGAATAATAGTGACCTTTGAAACACGAAATAATGCGCCTTACTTTTGTTCTCTAACTGTGTCCTACATCAGTATCATCCATCCTTGCAAGTATCGGAGCGCTGAAGTACTTCCTTTTCAATCAAGACTTGTAATTGTTAGTCGAGTGAATGTTTTTTCTGACCAATTCCAATATGGCGGAGGTTGCATTCACCCGATGAACAATTAACAAGTTTTGCTCGAAAAAGAAGTAGTTCGCCGCTCCAATACTTGCAATGCATGGATGGATGATACTGATGTAGGACACAGTTAGAGACCAAAAGTAAGCTGCTGATCGCATTATCCGTGTTTTAAAGGTCACTATTATTCAGCTGTCCAGTGTGCCATTGAAAAGCTATTATATCACAATCCACATAGCTTTCGCAGGAAGTAAATGCACAGCAATTTTGAATTAGACTACTGGATCTTGCAGCTGATCCATTGCCTCATTATCTTTTCATATAACCGTACACCCAGATGGGGGAGGTCCCTGAGCGCCTCAGAAATCTCCCCATGGAAGTCAAAGTTATTTTACAACACATATAAATGATTAATGAGGGAATATGAGTGTTTGCGTTTATTTACTTCCTTATTTCCTTCATATTTGAAGAGCTCGATCAATCATGGACAGTACTCAAACTCAAACATAAGAGCAGTTTTGAGAATCTCATGTTACTTGTAACGGCTATCACAAAACCATATTCATAAACGTGGTCAGCAAAAGTGATATTACGTGACTTCTATTTCTTTGACTAATCAGAAAGCATCTAAAAATATTATGAGGAAATGTCAACTTCAAACTGAAATTTTCTGATGTTTTTTCGGATATATATCTTCCTAATACAAGGTATTTTGCAATGTATGTGCATTTGGAAGTATTATTTTATATCAATCAAACCATGCGATTGCTGAATTTGCAATGAAAATAATACAATATGAGAACTGATACTTTCATTTCTCGCCTTAAACTACAAGAATGATATAACAACCTGATCCGATCCGATCCAATATGAAACGCACCCCCTTTGAAAAAATTTACGGGGCTGCCTTTAGTATGCAGGCCTGTCAACTGTCCCGCAATTTGCGTATTTGTCACGCATTTGCTGAAGAATTTGAAGTCACGCCAGTTACTTTTGCGTGACAGAAAATGTCACGCAAATACGCATTTTACCTGGTAATTGTCAAGCAAAAATATTTCTGTAGAAAATTTTCTAAAAAAGATCGTCTACACAGCAAAAATACGAACGACGGGAAAAAAACGTACGCATTTCGTTCGGACTTTTCACGTGAAATACGGATATGTCACGCATTCCGTTCGAAATTTTTCGTACCTACCCCCCCCCCCCCCCCCATTGATGGATGTTTGAAACGCGAGCGTAGGGAGCGCGAAAAATTTGAGGTGTTCAAAATTTGGCAAGATGTAATAAAATTTAAACCAAGGTGTTCAAAATTTGGATCAAGGTGTTCAAATTTGGACCAAGGTGTCCACATTTTGAGGGGAGGTGTTCAACATTTCCAAGTCACTCATGTTATGTGTTCCCAAGTTGACAGGCCTGAGTATGTATCCAACTCTGTATATATTCAGACTAAATAGGATATAGTCTAGGGCTGCCTTGCAGAACATTTTCATCCATATCATGCAGATTCAACGAGTAAACACCTTATTCAGAAAAAGTGCAAGGAATTTCCCACCACTTTCCTCATTTCATGCAAGTGATATTAGGCAAAGCTATGAACTTATTCCTTGATTCTATATCACCTAAAAGGAAGTGGAATTGATTTCAAACATCCAATTTCTTCAGGAAAAAAATAAAAACAAAAATTTGAAGTCAGTTCTTCGGGTCCAATAAGGTACCTAAACAATATATAACTTGTTTTAGTTATAAGATATTCATTCAAACCCTTACCTCCAGCAGGAATATAGTCTCACTGTTTGTTGCTTCTTGCCATTTTTCGAATTCTTGTACTAAAATATTTGTGTCTTCCTTGACCGCCATGTTTTTATTCTAAACTTTTCTCACCTCCGAAATTAAAGAGCTATTTGCTTTCACTTTCGATTTAGGATTAAAACTAATCTTTCGCAGTATATTGAAATATAACTACCTTTCAGGACCAAGGTATTATATATCATTATCATCATACCCACGTTGATTAAATCAGATGTACCATCACGTTATGAATAGCAGCCAAGAGAAGAATCTAAGCTTACATGTTATGTATTGGCAATTTAAACTTTATCCAGATTAATAGATGTCATTACTGACAATAGGTTAAATGATCAGAAGCCCTCACTGAATTGCTTCATTATGAATTATTAAATCTGATCATCACACAGGTATTTTATAAGTGTGTGTCAGGTATTGTTAACCTTCAGTTTTCAGGGAGGAAGGATCAAAAAATTGTTTATATCCATGTCAATGAAAAGACATTCTAATACTATAATAACATCTTTAATACTGTTGTAAACTCTCCATTGAAAGCCCATGTGTAAACCCTGGGTATAAACTAGCAATATGTTCTGATACATTTTGTGTTCTGGTATCATCAGAGGGGAGGGGCACATATCATGTGTGTTGGTTATCATGTATTTAGTGGCCTTATGTTTAATAAACACAAAGCTAGGCCAGGTGTGTCCGATTCCAGCCAATCCAAACACAATATTTTATTTAACTGCACTGCATTATATAACCAATCACTCCATCCAAGGTCACTGATTATATGGTTGTCAAGGTGACAGCTTGACTCTACAGATTATTAATGCTTTGCCAATTTGACCCTTGCAAAAAGTTTCTTTGAAAATATGTTCGTTTAGTGATTTGGTATCTTATTTTGCAATATGTGAAAAGAATTTAAGCCCATGGCTTGATGTATTATGGAATGACCATTCCTTTCAGAAGCTGTTGCCTAAAATTAACACTAGATGCTGCAAATCTCATGCAAATTTTGGAATGGTCATTCTACATTGCACTGAGTCCAGGGCTTAAATCTTTAAACATTACATAGGGTTACACTGTCACTGTCATTAGCTGTACCAAAGACAAAACAATGAATTAAAACAAAACAAATGAATTCTCTTAATTATTTTTATTTGATTATACGTATCAATAGGATAATACATATTGGTAATATACTGGCAAATAGGATACATTTATTTAAAAAATCAGTCACTGATACAGTATAAGAATGCCTCTTATATTTGGCTGATTACTTGCAAGGCACATAAACTTATTATAAACTTACTTATATACTTCAGATAATGATCGCTCCAAGATATCTTAACTACTTATAAATATAATATGTGCACAAAAGTATATGTACTATCACATCAAGCCCCCCTCCCCATACATACTAACATGCAGTCTTAATCTCTTTTTGCCTCCTTAAAACTGAAGGTTGTAACCTTTGATTCAATGACTTGATACAATCGTACATGAACAAATAACTAAAATATCTAAAATACATAATTATGCTGTATCAAAATATAATATCAAAACAATTTTGATTTTAATGATTTGTACATATTGCACCAGGTTATTGTGATTGGCTTATTAGAACTCATAACTAACTGTACATGATACATTTGATTCAGACTATTGTACTGTATATGAATTAGCAAAATATTATATGTATCAATCATCAAATATGTATTTTATAGAATATATGTGGGTGCTTTTTAATAAGAGACTAGACTAATAAGAGGGATATATACATATTCTTTCCAAATTCACCCGTGATAGAAAATCGTAAAAGTTCAGCGAACAAAATTCCTGTAATCTCTATGAATAATTTATACATTATACATTATACCTTTATCACTAATGGTACAACATATATAGCCTAGCTTCAAATGACCCTGTTGATAATAGAGTTGGGATGTGTAACCAGCTATGAGGCAATGAGGCAAATGCCTCACTGACATTTTAGGCTTTGTCTCACCTATTTACATTTGCCTCTACACTGGCTACAACCCTGAAAGAGGTAGAGGTATCATCCTGTCCAGGAAAGGTTGAAAATCATGATATGCCTCATCAAGTAATGATAACCAAAAGTGGTTCTTTTTCTAACATGCTATAATCCTCCTGTTTAATACAAAATATTGGTGGTAAAACACACATTCAGCTCACAATTACTTATACATGTACAATGTAATTAGTATAATATTTAATGACTCTTTTTTAAGAGTGAGAATAATCATTTGTTTAACATTAAAATTACTGCTAGAATAACAACTGAGTACATTTGAGACAATTATAGTAGTAACACAAGAGCAATGTTTCATTAGTTGCGTAGTGATCACATATGTGACATGCAACATTGATAAACTTTGACATAGAACTTCTTTTCTGAAATTATCAAATCTCAAGAAAAACCTTCCATTTGGAAAATGAAATTCTTCAAAATAGAAAAGTAGTAAAATTCAATTTGGTACTTGCCATGCTGCTAACTCAGAAGAAGTGAGTAGCTCCCATATTCTTTCATATTCTATCATATTCGGGGATTACCCATTATTCCCCATTTTTAACCTTTTGATATTTTTTAGAAAAGAAAGCCTGTACCAAAGTCTATCAACCGTTCAAGTTACAGATCTACAGTACAAATGAAAACGGTACATGGTTGTCCTTTTAAAGTGGGCAACACCTCTTAGATATGTTCTGTACATTTTCATGGGAGACAGACCCAGAAACACCTCAATAACTGACATAGAAGCACCACAGTCTTTTATAAGAGTAATTGATAACTCACTGAAGTACTATTGTACACACAAATGTAGTACAGACTCTCATTTACTAAGATTGGGACTTAAGTATAGTTTATATGGTGAAACTGAAAGACAATTCGGCTAAATAGATTAAGACAAAATGTTGAAAATGTGACTGCAAATAAATGAGCCTCAACACAGGAAAACTGGTCTTTTCACAAAAAATGTGCCCAAGATTAAGAAGAAAACATGCGAAATTCAAATCCATCTTTTTGGTCTATATTTGCAAGGAAAAAATGGTGAAGACATAAGCCATGGCTCATTTGAAAGGACTTTTTGTGCTTTTTAAGATAAACAAAAAAACAAAATATTGAAAAATTCTGTGATAAGACTAGTTTTCCTATGTTGAGGCTCAAATACGTTTACCTTACCCACTCATCAACTATCACAGTAGTGGTTTTGTATACAAGTTTACAACACAAAGGTTTATATTATATATCTTACAGTGTACAAAAAAGTGTTATACCGGTATATGTAATTCAAGAAAATGTAGTGTAAGATAGTTTTTGTTCCAATTTCCCAATCAAATGAGACAATCATGTCACTTACATGTAGTATCGTTTTTTACGTTTAAAGAGTTTCATTGGAAGATTAATTTTAAGCACAATAAATATATCAAAATTATTTTTAAGCACAATAAATATATCAAAATTATGACTTTTACTGTCTATTCAAATGATCTTCCAAGTTTTAACCACAAGATCAAAACTTGCACCTACAACTCCTTTGATCTTTTTCTATGCAATCCAGCTGGACCTAGTTCTCTTGAATATATCTTAGTTCTAATCGAATATTCTTATCATATCACATTATGACATTTTCCTTACAATATATTCTCCTGATCTCCTCACAATATATTACATCCCCAGCAGCAGGTCTGAGGATAGTCCGGACAATACACTTGGTGTTCGTTACCATAGACCCAGTAACGTTTAGAATCACCCTTCCATGTATAGGCACACTCTGACACAGGCACAGCTCTAAGAGTTTGACGCTGGAATTAAATAATATTGGAATAAGTTTAATGTTACTTTTTAATTTCTCTTTATTATGGACATAGTACTCATGAATAAAGTGGAAGGTCCACATGCAGTATGGCAAGTGATTTTAGACAGTCATATCTGGACCTTTGCTACAATTCTGTGTAAAATACATATTTTATGCAAAGATTAAGATAATTATGTTTCAAGATTTATGGACCACATTGCCCAGACCCCTGATTGGCCATGTCAATTCATTGACAGACTTCCATGCTCTGTAGTCTACTCTCCATATACAATTACCCACAAAGTAAAAAAAATACCCACAAAGTAAAAAAATGTTTATACAATTACTCAACAAGGTTGATGTAATACTGTAATAATCATTTTTAATCCAGAAGTGTTAATAATTTACAAGTATTCATACAACATACCTGCATGATAATATTAGTCATCTTGTAAGCATCCAAATGTTTCATGATGAGGTTATTTGAACACTGATTGATATCTGGTTCTGGGAAAGTCCTCATAGGCCAACATCGCGGCAGTTTCTGCTCAAACAGTGTCTTACCCTGAACATTCTTAATAAGGTGGTCTGGCATATCAGTTTTCTCAAGGATGTATTCCTCAGCATGATTCTCACTGAAAAAATTTGAATATTGTATTTATTTTTATAAAATAAAGTAAGAAATAAAATACTAACTTTTAATTTTTTTACTAACTTTTTTGCCAATCATTTATTGATTTATTTCAAATGAAAACTTGCTTCCTTTCAAGTACTGATTTATGTCAGCAAAATATAATGGAGTTTAACCCCCTCCCCAAATGTAATGAATTACATTTATGAATGTATTGACCTGGTCCCCTAAATGAAGTTTTAACTATATTTTGTTTTATAACATAAGGAAAACTAACCAATTTTCAAGTAAAGTACATGTACTTACTATTTAACAGTTAGCTCAATGAAATTCTTTAGCTGTCGATAACCTTGACATGTTGGACATGTAATCATCCCGTGACCTCTACATGTCAAGCACCTATAAGAAAAGACACAAACTATAACCTTGATATGTTAGACATGTCCTGTGACCTTGACCCTGACATGTCAGGTACCTACGAGTCACAACAGACACCCATATTCTTGAGGGGAGATATAACTACTGTTGTAGAAGTAATCAATGTGTTATCTTTCAACTGTTTAGCAGACATATTAATTTCAGTCTTAAATACAAAATGATGCTCAAGAGGTACGGCACACAAAAATGGAAGTAACTTAAGTACAAAAATGCAGAAAAGAATACATAAATATCCTCCAACAAATTCACTACATTAACATTAGCTGAGGAAGAGAAAATCATACCTTTTTCTTCCACGTCCATGACAGCTGAAACATGTGGCCCTGTGAGCATGACCATCTCTATGTGTTGTACGATGTCCAGTGCCATGACAGGAAATACAGCGGTTACTTCCACGTCCGTAGCACCTATGACAACGGATGAACCCAGATGAGAAACACTGGTGACATTGCTGAAAATACATATATAAAATATTAGTAAACATTAAATAAGGCAATAAAATCAGAATATAAAACAATAAAATAATGATGATTTTGAATATGGAGTTCCCATTGTTCATTGTTAAATTTTTTACAGCAGAACAATAAATAGAGGAATTTATTTGAATTGTGATGACGAGGCAGCAAAAATTTAAGGATGATCAAAAAATGTTCATTGCTGGAGGATGTACTTTTATGAATGAGCACATCAACATAATGATGTTAAAGAAAAATCAGAATTGTAAGAAGTAGTTTGATCTATTATATATTCACAAACTTTTTTATTGTGTTTTGCGTTGTTTGTATGTTCATACATTTACATATTCAGTAAGTTTACTATGTAACTTACCTAGATTCCTAATGAACATAATAAGTGAAACACCTCCTGGGCTGAGTCTAATCAAGCATGTAAAAACTTACCACAATACTAGCAGTATGGGGAACTTCATATGTCTTCACTTCTGTTTGAAACAAGTTGGAGAAATTACTTGCTATTGACCACGCAGGAGGGGGTACACCAAACTGGGGACCATCCACATGACCACCTACAAATTGCGTTTGACATGGATTTTAATATGGATTAATTACTTATCAACATGATCAATTTTTAGGGAACAACTTTCATAACTTTTCATATGTTTCTTACTCAGGCACTCCAGGTTTTTGTTTTGAAATATTCTCTGCAAGAAAAATGCAGCATTTGGCAAGCTTGGTGGAAATATAAAATACATTATACTGCACAATATCGGCTATAAAACAAGATGTTTGCATGTACCTCGATATGGGGCCTGAGTCCAGGCTGTGGACCTCATTTCAGTGAAAGTTTCCAAAACATACTGGAAAATCAAAGCATAAATCATTACTGTTTCATTCATTCTACAGCTTTGATCAGACTTCAACTATACATTACAAGTTGTAATTAAAATGAGAAGAAATGACTGTGTAATGACAATGTTCTTAGAGAGTAAATCATCAAATTTAAATCTCCATCTAACACTAGTATAGAAAGTCAGTTCTGATTAAACACTAAGCCTATGCCCATTTTCTAGTGACTTACATGTAAACCACTTGATGGTTTAATATTGGTGAAGACCAGATCATTGACAGCACCCTTCCCATAGCAGCAATGCTGGCCGACATACTGTAGCAAGGCTTCTCTAGCTTGGTCCTCAGTTGGTATAGCACCAGCACTACAAATCAGATACCACAGATTTACTGTTTAACCTTTACTGTATATTCTAAAGCAACAAGCTTGATGTGATGGAACGTGTGATGTACATTGTATATCTACTTAGTACATTTTGTGCAAAAACGGTGATTTTGGAGTTCTGTTTTCGCGGGAAAATAATTGGAATGGTTGAAATGATGACAATGTTGGAATGTATGAAATGATGCAACTGAAATAATTGAAACAGTTAAAATAATTGAACAGTTCAAAATCATTTCATAAAATATGAAGGGCTTAAGCATGAATGTGCGCTAAGGTGTATCTCTAAGTATTTATATTCCCCTACCTGGTAAAGTCCTCTCGAGGCCTATTCTCTTCCTTAAACAGTTCATCATAAGAGGGAGGAGCATTCGGAGGGGGCAATGGAGGGGCAGATGCTGAAATAAGAAGCTTGCATGTGGATTTTTTATTAGTTTAACATTTGTAGTATAGTGGTACCCTAATGTTTTTTTGCCCTTAGATAGACCATTTATCATTTGTACATTAAGAAAAGACTATGATTTTATCTTTTGCTAGTACATTTGGAAACATACCATTTGCATAACCAGTGTTTTCATATCCACTTATGCGACCAAACTGAGAAGGGTCTGCAGGCTTAGCAGTTGGTTCAGGTGCACTATGGTCCTCTGGTAGATCCTCCCCTGCTATATCTGAGCCCATATAAGTTGGATTGTCCACTTCTCCATGAAATTGTACAGCTAAAAAAGATAATCCTTGATATTATCATGAAGTGTGTATTGATTGGTTTGCTTGATTTACTATATGGTACGCTATTCTGAATAACTGTTATATCTATGATTATGGTACGTAACATTCATTAGAATAGCCCTGTTTCATAGCATATTTTACATACGTTTTCCAGGTTCAGGTTGTGGGACTCCTCCATGTGGATGTCCTGGTTGTCCCTGTGGTGGATATCCTGGCTGTCCCTGTGGGGGATATCCTGGTTGTCCCGGTGGGTGATATCCTGGTTGTCCCTGTGGGGGATATCCTGGTTGTCCCTGTGGGGGATATCCTGGTTGTCCCTGTGGGGGATATCCTGGTTGTCCCTGTGGGGGATAGCCTGGTTGCCCCTGAGGTTGATATCCTGGTTGTCCCTGTGGGGGATATCCTGGTTGTCCCTGTGGGTGATATCCTGGTTGTCCCTGTGGTGCATATCCTGGTTGTCCCTGTGGATGATATCCTGGTTGTCCCTGTGGAGGATATCCTGGTTGTCCCTGTGGAGGATATCCTGGTTGCCCATGTGGATATGCTGGGGCATTTGGTTGTGGTGGGCCATGACCTACAGTAGACATAATATGTGCATGTGTATGTGCATTTGTTTACAATACCTCAAATGTTATTTTTCATTAATCTAAGATTGAATAGTGAATTTTTTTTCTCAATCAGTCAATATACAATGCCTCTATGAAGGGTAGGACCTAGTCCCAATACCATCTCTATGGTTCTGGCCTTGAGTGTCTTCAATAGAAGGTGTATTTGAAATATAAGACTGACATTTATGTTTGGAATTATGACATTTGAGATCGAAAAATGCAAATTAGTTTGAGGTTAATTTTCCATTGACTTTTAATAGTGCAAAAGTTTGAGATATTCCCAAGACAATAGTCCTGGAACACTACCAAAAGTCAATGGAAAATTATCCTCAAACTAATTTGCATTTTTCGATCTCAAATGTCATAATTCAAAACATAAATGTCGGTCTTATATTTCAAATACACCTTATACTTACATCTGATAATATCTTTTATCAAACATATGCAGTATTTATCGTAGAATAGAATGAATTTCAGCTAGAATTGGCGTTGAAAATTTCAATCGACGATTCTCTGCCAGATTACGCTCTGATCCATTGATTGGTCAATGCGCTGTGCACCGGAAGAAACTACTTTTGTTTCAATTACGGTGTCACCCCACATTTTTAACATGGAAACAGGAGGGGTTATTTATCGTAATCGTGTCTAACTTTCTTGTTTTGGAGGCACAACATCGAAAACAAATGGTGGGATAAGTTTAAATGATTGAAGATGTAAGTATTTTCGATCTTTTCACAGCTAAATGGCTGTCTATTCTTCAAGAAAGTCGCGAGGAGGGATACTTAAACTGCTTATATCAAATTGGAGTAAATTTCTGTTTTGACGACGTCAATTTAATATGATTTAGACAATATATGCGATGGCTACATTTTAAAATATGCAAGCATTGTGTGCAGTTTCACTTTTGCCTGATATAATCAGGATTTAAATTAAAGGAGCTGTGCAGATAAATCACATTTTAAACGATTAATCAATTTCATATTATTTTTTTACTTCCTTGTCGGCCATATTGTTTTTTAAGATAACCAATCAAATCAAAGGATTCAACAAAATGGCGCATATAAAATTTACCATTGACTTTTGGTAGTGTGGAATGAGATATGGATATATAGACTCCACTACTTTAGTCATGTCTTATCCCGTACCAGGACTATAGTCCTGCGAACGTTTTATTCTTTTGCCTGTACGATTACAACATGGGAGAATTTTCTACGCTTCTTACACTTAAGATACCTATTTCAATAGATTCCTTGGTATTTTGGCATTCTTTTCGTGTAGTTGAATCCACCATTGTCTGGGTTTATCGGCAGAACAAAGAAATTTTCATTTTTGATCGCAATATTTGCGTGTAATATTTAACTTATTTCAACCGTCAAATTCTTCCATTTATTGGTTAACCAGGCCACTTCTGGGTCAGTCAAACGGGGAATCCCCTTTTAAATCCAACCGCCATCTTGGAAAGTGATGGAATATCTCTCGATGAAATAGAAAAATGTTCCCATTCTGCCGATATACCCAAACAATTGTGAATTCTACTATACGAAAAGAATGCTAAATACCCAGGAATCTATTGAAGTAGGTATCTTAAGTGTAAGGGGCGTAGATAATTCTCCCAAGTTGTAATCGTACAGGCAAAAGAATGCACTCGTTACAGGACCATAGTCCTGGCAAGGTAAAGTCATGTCATGTGCAAACAAGAATGAATGAAACTAACATTGACAGTGCTTTTATTCTCAAGTATATATGTCTACTATAAATACTGGGCGTCATCTGCACTTACAAATTCAATCACTGCAATTCCGAACTAAACTACACTGTGTACACTGCTAATTAGACTACTACTACTTATGACATGGAAACACGGATAGTGGGAAGTCCTCCAAATATTACCTTTATTATTTCTCAGGCAACGCAGCTTCCATCCAAAATAAAAAATATGTATTTTTAAAATAAATTATTTGTCTAGTTTTCGTTAAACAAATATCCTGAGACACATAGGGCCTGTAGAAAACACTAAACAGAAAAATAAAAAAAATATTCATACTTCCAAATCTGCTTTATAAGTCAGATAATGCACCAAATCATAATGGTTGTTCAAAATAAAAATTTAAGGGGACGGAGCGCCGTATCTCGCGAGAATAAAGCTAATCACGCACCATCTCGCGAGAATAAAGTAAATCACGCAAAGGCGCGTGATTTTTTCGACCAATCAAATAGCTTGAAATTTACCAAACCATTTCGTCCAGTGCTTCACAACCGGAAGTAGGTCATTGACACATGCGCAGTAGAAATTGTCAATTTACTGAGCGGAACTTTCAATGGCCTGGAGAAATTTTACTCACGAGAATTGATGATTACTGAACACATATAGGCATAAGAGGTGAGCGACCCAGTTATTTTTGCGTATAAATGTTTCAAGAATAGCATGATATCAAATAATCTGTACATTATGCTATGATTCATTAAGGTGCCATGGAAGTTAACAGGAAATGACAAAACAGGAAGTGACAAAGCCATGCTGGATTGTGAAAATTTTTTGAAGCAAGATATCAGAGTTCTGTTTGGACCTCTAGTCAGTTTTACTAGTTCCACATATCATTTACATGACTGGGAACACAATGGAAATGGTCAGAATGACCATAAAAATGATGAAATAACCTTTTCAGCCCTCTGGAAATGTGACTGAAAAATAGCTAAAAGTAGGTGCTCAGGAAAGGTCACTGAACAGAATCTTTCGATTTTTTCAGAAAACGTGTCCAATATATTGCTCTAAATGATACAATCTTTGAAATTTTAAAAAATTGTCTGAAACAATAATGGCTGTAGTAAAAAGGTAAATCGATCAATTTTCGATTCAGTTTTTTTCATTTTTTTCTTTTTCTAAGAATGATATCAAATTTTTTTAAATTGTATCATTTTAAGCAATATATTGGGCAGATTTTCTGAAAAAGTCAAAAGATTCTGTTCAGTGACCTTTCCTGAGCACCTACTCTTAGCTGTTTTTCAGGCACATTTTCAGAGGGCTGAAAAGGTTATTTCATCATGTTTATGGTCATTCTTACCATTTCCGTTGTGTTCCTGGTCATGTAAATGACATGTGGAACTAGTTAAACTGACTGGAGGTCCAAACAGAACTCTGTTATCTTGGTTCAAAAAATTTTCAAAATCCAGCATGGCTTTTCACTTCCTGTTTTGTCATTTCCTGTTAAGGTCAGGGTGCATGATGAAAAATTTTCTGCATTCCTCAATTGAGTCACATGTTATTTTTCAAACAAGAATCACTCCTTCCCCAAATTGTCTATATCTTCCAGTTTTGCAGAAAGAGTGCACTTATGTGCCTACAGTGCTGATATATAATAATATAGGGTGCGTTTTCAAACTAAAAAGAGTGTTCCTACCAAAATGAATTTGCCTACATACCCCTGAAACTCTTATCTGATAGATAGAATGCACAAATAAAACAAAAGTTTTGCAATTATAGGTAAAAAGTTCTCTTGAAATTTCGAAGTGATTTTACCTGTTAATTCTGTCCAAGGTCGGCCATTTTTGCGGAAGTTACACTGAAACGCAAACTCCATGAAACGAAACGAAATCACTAGAAAAAACATGGCACACATTGTGCGCATGTGCAGCAAAGTTTAGACCAATTAGATTATTTGATTATTTTGCACACGTGAATTATTTGCTTCCGAGCACTTACAAGCTTACCACAATAAACAAACCTGGCAGAGACTACCCTTAGCCTACTTCATTTTGGCGAAATTTCAGCTCAAACTCGTGAAAAATGCATTATGCATACGCTGGTGTGAAGCCTTGGAGACACTCATTTTGGTAAATATGATTTATGGGGTATACTTTTCTGCAGTTTGTGGGAGTTTGGGACATTAAATGTTAAAATTCAAGAAAATATGCCAATTAAACGACTGATCAATTAATATATACCAGCACTGTAGAAAAGACTTGTGAGAAGAATGTTTTAATAAAGTGTATAAAAAACAAGAAAATTCAGTGAAAAAATTTAGAAAATTTTCAGAAACTTTTTTCACTGAATTTTCTCGTTTTTTATATATTTTACAAAACAAATCTTCTCACAAGTCTTTTCTAGGCACAAAGATGCACTCTTTGTGCGAACCTGGAAGATATGAACAATGTGGGGAAGGAGTGATTCTTGTTTGAAAAATAACATGTGACTCAATTGAGGGATGCAGAAAATTTCCCATCATGCACCCTGACCTTCACTTCCATAGCACCTTAAAAAATTCGAAGTGTCTGGAGTACCTTAAAATTTAAGGCTCTTTAGCCAAAATGCTAAAGAGCCTTAAAATTTAAGGCTATTTAGCTGTGAACATAGTGTTTTGGCTAGAGAGCCTTTGTGTTTATAATCCGTGTTTATATTGTTTTTTATTGAAGTTTTCGTCATCTAAACAATAAAAAAACACTCTCGAAAGTTTTTCAATCCAGAATGCCACTTAAAAATTTCACACATGTATATCACTATAGGGTTGCAAAAAAATTCATATCACGCTAAAACACTCTGGTATAGTGGTTAGGGTGCTCGCTTTCCACTTCTGCGGCGTGGGTTCGATTCCCTGACGGAGCTCTTTTTATTTTGAATAACAAGCCGGAAGTTTGTTCTCTGAGGTCCGGAAATTATGTACACATTTTTTTCTAGAATTCTTGGGCTTGCTCCATCGCTCAATCATCAATGTTTAATGAAATTAATCACTTGTATTGGCTTTGCTATAGTCACGAGAATACAGGGAATCCCATTTTAAGATGGCAAAAAGTATGATGAAGACCTGGGGATGAAAAAGGATCTTGTTTCTTCTAGATCAGCACATCTTGACGAAGTTTATCGTGAATGCAGGGACATCAGCCCAGGGACATCAAAGAATACACTTCCAAATCTATTGCCCATTAGATTTCAATGCTGATTTTAGAATTTCACGTGAAAAGATATTTTTGCA